TTTCCATTTTATTTATTTTAAAGTCATTTTTATTATCAGCTTTCACATGAATGCCTGACAGGGATTTAGTGAAAAAGTAACTCCTTTGATTTTAATATTTGCTTATATAATTAGCACTTTCTATTTCTTATGGTATGAAAAACACTGCAAGAGGAAAAGAACATGTTGGGAGTAATTTATTGAACAGAAGCTGGAGGTTGGCTTTCATGAAGGAAAATGTTGACATTGAGAGGTACTTGGCCATAAAATAATTTACAAAGAGATGCATTAGATATCTTCTGGTTTTAGGCAGAAAAATAAAAATAAAAATAGACTAAACAGAACAGTGTGGTATGTAGTGTGAACAGAAGTCCTCCAGTGGTTGGAACAGGATGGTTTCATAAGAAAGCATTGATAAGTAAAAATGGTATGGGGAAACAAAATCAACTATGGGAGAGAGAGAAGACTTGAGAAAGTGCTTTTATTTGCAGACAGGAGGAAATGAGAGTTTGCAAACAAGCATGTTGCTTCTGTGCAGACTGGCAGCAGTTCAGCACAGATGCACTTATACAAATAACTGGCTGCTGGCATGTGATACTCCTTGTGCAGATACATTTTCCATCTTTGCATATCTGCAAAATTTCATGAACTTGTTAATTCATTTGAATCATTTTAAATAACTTACAGTATGGCAGTGAGCTCAGTTAATAACCAGATTTTAAAGACACTGTATGTGCAGCATTTCTCAGAGCTGTAGTACTATTACTGCAGCTTTACAGTCACAGCAAAAACTGTGACTGATTGTGTTTGTGTCTGCAGACCATACACATCTTAATCACTTTCTCATATACACTTGCCAATGTAGCATTAGTTATTGAAGTACTTAAAACTGCAGTTGACTGACTACATTAGTACTTCTGCCTTTGCCAAAATAAAACTTTGATGGAGGTTAAGAAAAATGGTACCCTACAAGAATCTGGAATGGATGAGTAGCAGATGAAATCTCTGTATTTTCTCCATATTTAATCAAATCTACATTACAAATTGATGCTTTGAGGTCTTGAGAGAGAGCTTTTTTTCACTTTTAAAGATAGGTGAAAAGGAAACATATTCAGGAAACTTAACATTGGGGGAAAACTTCCTAGAAAGTAGCAGTTGTCAGAAAGTTGTTAGATCCATATTTTTGTAAGAAATACAAATACCAGCTTTTGCTTTCTCACCTGGGCCCTAGTGACTGGACAACTATCTTGGTTTTTGTGTTTTATCTCCTAGTTATAATAACATATAAAAGATGCTGGGTGACATGCTACAATTGAACAGGAATTTTGTCTTGGCAGGGGTCTTTAGATACTTCATTAGTACATGTATTTAACATTACTGCAATATTCACATATTTAAGCAAATCAGTGAAAATAAAGGTCATCCTAAGGACTGAGATGCAACAAGCGATTCTAAATGATATATTTTCAAATAAATGTTTAGGTATACCATCAAAATTTTCCAAATAGCTTAATTGAAATTTGAAATTAATTAATTTGAAATTGATTCCCATGATCTGGAAATTAACTAAATATCTGGCATGTTTTCCATTTCTTACACAACCTGTCCTTCATGTAGTGACTGACACTTAAATATTAATGTCAAGCAAGTAATGGCTTCTCAGAATCCAGCTCTTGACAATGGTAGAAACACAGATACAGTTTCATGTGAGATTTGTATATCTATATGAGATCCAGTCAGATGACTTTGATGACTAAAAAAGCCCTGACAGGTGAGACTAAGTGAAATACTAAATAATTAAACCTTATATATATATATATATATATATAAAATATATATATATTATATTATATATATATATATATTTAAAAAAAAAAAGCTTCAGCTCTTTTTTTGTAATATACTTTAGATTGGGAAGTGTCAGGGGAGAGATTGGATAGCTTTTTCCTTTTTTTTTATTTATTTCATACTAGTTTCTTCTTTATGGAAGAAACAAACTAGGTAAACACACAATAAAGGTTAGGTTACTGGAAATTATTAGATTTCAGATACAGTTTATGAAATAAATAGGAGTGAAATAATACTTTTTGAAGATCAAAGGAAATTCTTACTGCACCTAAATTCCAACAATGGTGCTTCATTTCTCTCATGGTATGCACTGAATTTACTTAATCTGTTCTATAACTCAGAGATGGTATGCTGTATTCACTAGAACATAGGAACATTCAAGAGCAGTTTTGATAATTGTGACTCATTTATGATTTGGTCAGCAGATGGGAAAAAATTGTTCTGTCTTGGATTTATAATAACTGGTGAGTTGTTACATAATGATGAAGTATTTCCTACATTTTCAGTTAATGTGGAGGTTGGATCTACTGATAAAGCCTAAGTTGTGAGGAGGTTTCTAAGAGCTGTAGTGAACCTTAAAAGTGTAACTGCAAATTCTAAATTTTACAATGTATTGCACTGTTGATTTGTAACAATCTTAGATGTGTAATATTTAAAAGCTGTTATATAATATAACTGCTATTTAATAATGCAGGCTGTTAAAATGTGTATAGATCAAGTTGTTAATTCCCATTTTACCAATTAATTTATTGTTCCAGCATGAACATTGTTGCCATTACTGCTTCTACCGAAGTTTCTTAGCCTCCTTTAGCAGTGAGCACACATACTTGGGGTATTAAGTATGCAAAACACATATTAGTATCAAAAGCAAAGTTTAAATACTAACATCATTCTAGAACATATGGACATTTTCTTTGAGAGTTTGAAGAGGAGTATTTCATGATATGGCACTAACTTTAGTAGATAAGTATTTTTCTGTGTCAGCATAGGATGAAAATTAAATCTTGAATGCCTGTAGGTTTGCAAGCTGCTTTTGAGCAGCTGAGATGGAAATGCATAGTCCATTTTTTGATCTTCCAGTGGACATGGGCTAAAAGGATCCAGACATAAATTCAAAGGGTTCCGCAAAAATGAGGTCCAAAGAGATATTTTTTCAGGGGACAAAAAAACAAACAAATAAAAATACAATAAAACCCACAAATATAACCTAAACCATGCACTTAAGCATTTCTTTGTAGATAAACTGTGCATCAGAATGCCACAATGCAGAAATAATTTGATGGTTTGATGCTTTTAAGTAACAATCTTAAAACTGTTGTTGCCTTTCAAAAGAGCTTTTGTAGCTAATAAATGCAAAGCAAGATGAGGAAAAAATGCAAATAAATGACAAATGTTCAAAATAAGTGTTTTGCCTCCTGCTCTGCTGCCAAAGCAAGACAGATTTTTAGTCATTGGGTTAATTTTGATAACGTTTCCTGTATGAAGATATCCAGGATTAGAAGTAATAGGAGAGATTAAATGAGCTTTTTTTGTAATTTAGTACATTATTAAATATTTTTAAAATTCCAGGCAGTGTATAAGACAATTACTTGTTGTTTTCTAAAACAATAGAAACTGTTAAGAATTTTAGGAAGTCAGGTTTCTTTCATTAAATCTAAACAAGTTGCTCTTAAAAGTAAAGGTAAGAAGTAAATTAATTTTTGAAAAGATGTTACCACAGAAGCAAACGGAATGCTTCATGTGTTTTAGCACCAGTCTTTTGTTGTTAGAATAGAGTGGTCTTCTCCTGCATTTGCATCTGAGGTGTCATTTTCAGTTTGTCTTTCTCCTGTTTAGAAAAATTATTGGTGAAGAGTTGATCACTTGACCAAGTGCAGATAAAGGATGGAATAAGATTATAAAGAAAAAAATAACACCAGCTGAATAAAATAATTGTCTCAGACTTGTGTGCTCCTGGTGACATCAGATGGCTAAGTCAGAGTAGTACCAATCTAAAAATAAATAAAAATCTAAAAGCGGTGCTGTGGATGCCTGTTATATTTGCAGGTCTACATCCACAATATTCTACAGGGGAAATATCCCTGATATTGGTACTTCCTACAGTTATACATTTTATCCTTTTTTTTTTTTTTTTGGTCTTAAAAGAAACATCTTTTATGCTTTGATGTAAGAAAATGAAAATACAGGAACAGATAGAGGATGGTGTGCAAAAACAGGAAGGATTTTAGAGTTAAACCTTAGAGGATAAACTGAGGCTTAATGCGAAGATTTGTTCTGTTTTCTTCTTACAGCTTTGTTTACTCATTCAACATTAAAATGAATCACAGAAATGATCACTATTATACAAAAGCATAAAAATATACTTTTTTGTTCTCTTCAAGAAAAATTATAATTGAAGCTTGTTTTGAGAAAGAATGTTATTATATCAGCTGGATTTCATGTTTTGCTAATAAAATGACTGTTGTGCTGGAAGCTAATTTCATTTGAAAGATTCCATTTTAATACACTAATGACAGCTTCTTCCTAACTGAGTGATTCAGAATTAAACAATAAACTGGAGTTGCCATTCCTAAGAGCTAATGTAAACCAAAAAGTTACAGCCTTCCTCTGTTTGTCCTCTGTTGGCTTCATATGTTCAGTTGGTGTCTCAGCAGGTGTTGTGCAGAACTGATTCTCCAGCAGAGGTAATTTACTCTGCTTAAAGGGCTATTTTTTGCACTGCATAATGCCCCAACTTCTTTGTTCAGTTTTGTTGGAAACTCTTTATCAATCCATGCAAAAAATACTTAATTAACTTTGTAATTAGGAACAGTAAAGTACAAGGAAAAACAAACAAACAAACAAACAAACAAACAAAAAAAAAACAGAAGGAAATCTGTCCTCATGCTTGATTTAGATTAGAAATATTGATTAATATTTTAAGCGGTTTGTACTGCCTGTTAATTATTTTGGAATTATGTAGATAGGGAATGTCACTCTTAAATAGGCCAAAGAAACTTTATATTTAAGTAGTAACAGATGATTATTTAATAGCTAACAAAACGAATGGGTTCTGTAATGGATCATTTATACTTTTTTTTTTTGACTCCTCTATTATTTTTGCAACATTAATACACAGAAATAATTTTGTCATGTTAGAAAACATATTAATTTTGTTTTTCTCTTGCCTGCAGGGCAGCACAATTATTTATGTGCTGGAAGAAATGACTGCATAGTTGATAAAATTCGTAGGAAGAATTGTCCAGCATGTCGCTTGAGGAAGTGCTGTCAAGCCGGTATGGTCCTGGGAGGTGAGCTGCTTTTCAAATCTCATTCAGAAAAATAGGCAGTCAAGAGCACTAGCTTCAATCCCTTGAGTTTAATATTCCTTTGATGCTTTAAGAGAAAGAACCACATTAAAATGTTATTTTGGAAGAATTACCTGGTGTTTAAAATAAGTTAAAATGCTTATATATTTTTTTTAACGAAAGCCTGGAAATCCTGAAACAAAAATATCTTTGTGTCATATAATGTATCTTTACACTCATTTTGTTGCAACAACAGGAATTGTGTCTTTGGTGTTTATTTATTAATAGATTTGGATCAGAGAATTCAAGCTGGGAAAAAAATGAAGAAGCAAATTGAGATCAACACTAAAATCAGAAGTCAGGACTATCCCCACACTTTTTTTCTGTACTCTTTGTCATTGCTTTGTGTAGAATTCAACAAGTTTATATCCTTCTGTTCCGACAAAGAGGACCAGGCATATATGTGTATATATATATATATATTTTTTTTTCTTTTTCCCATATTTTTCATGACATTTTAGCTATATGAAGTTTTGGACCAGCTCAAAGCTTGAAAATACACAACTGAAACTATAAGAAAATGATATAAAGGTAGTAGAAAGCAAGAAAGAAAGTATTTTCAAATTGAATTAAAAATAATAATAAAGAAGGAACAGACAAAATATGATTTATTTCTAACATGTTTTAGTTCATCAAACATTTCTCTCTCTGCATTTATGTATTGCTTTTTTTCCCTGAAGGAAGAACTGGCATTATATGCTGTTGGTAATTTCATTATTTTTCTGTGTCTGTGTCCATTCATAAATTAACATTTGTATGTAGTTTGCAGGCTGACATTTTGATTGCACAGCTGTATGTTTTCAGATCCTGCAGTACTGTATTGCTGCTGGAGTATTTTGCATACACGGTCGTCATGTCATTCTTACATTTTATATGTTTATCAGTGATGTAAATCAGTAGTTCCCTACCAGTGAGCAGCTGTTGCTGGCTCTCTGCATTTCATCCTCTGTAAGAGACAGTGCTGCACCTCCAGGGAGAAGTCTGTGTAACGACAGGAGGGAGAGGCAGTGCTGCAATATGGATTCTGTTTTGTGTATTGCTCCTGAACCTCCCTGAAACCTTCAACACTACCTCTCCTTTGAGTCCGCTTCTTCAAACTAGATCCCTCTCACCCCACAGCACTGGAAATAGAACAGTGACAGACATCAATGTAATTGGTGTTACTGTCTGTTGCTCCTTCCTGCACCTTGGGAGAGCAGTGCTTCCTCTTGGTAAAAAGAATGGAGCTGCCAAGGATGTTGGTGGCACTGGGCTGGGGAAGGAGGAACAAAGTTAAGAGAACATGTTGTGGTGGTTTAACACCAGTAGGTAGCTCAGCACCACCATAGCACTCTCCCCCTTCTCAGAAAAACAAGGGGAGAAAATATGATGAAAAAAAAAAAATCTTATGGGTTGGGATAAGGACAGGGAGATCACTCACCAATGACAGTCACAGGTAAAGCAGACTCAGCATAGTGAGATTATTACCTACTGCTACCAGACTAGAGAAGTAAGAACTAAAAGCAAACTAAAAACAAATTTCCCCCATCCACCCTATTCTACCTCCTCTCCCCCAGCAGCAGAGGGGAACAGGGAATGGGGGCTGTGGTCAGACCCTCATGCATCGTCTCCGCTGCTCCTTCATGGTCCCTCTCTGCCCCTGCTCCACGTGGGTTCCCTCCCACGGGATGCTGTCCTTCCCAAACTGAGCCTGCGGGGGTTGCCCACAGGCTGCAGCTCTTCAGGAACTGGTCCCATATGGGACTGTATGTCCAGATGCAGCCTTTCAGGAATGGATGAAATCAAACAGGTACAAGACTATGGGACCCGATCCCATGCATCCTAGGGTCCTAAGGGAGCCGTTTGAAGTAGTTGCCACTGCAAGTAGTTGCCACTCTGTCCACCATATTTGAAAAGTCTTGGCAGTCAGGTGAAATCCCTGGTGACTGGAAAAAGGGGAACGTCACTCCATATTAAAAAAGGATAGAAAGGAAGACCTGGGGAACTACAGACTAGTGAGCCTCACCTCTGTGCCTGGCAAGATCATGGAACACATCCTCCTGGAAGCAGTGTCAAGGCATGTGCAGGACAAGGAGGTGATGTGAGGCAGCCAGCATGGCTTCACCAAGGGCAAATCTGCCTGATCAATCTACTGGCCTTCTACGGTGGAGTGACTGTATCAGTCGACAGGGCAAGACCAACTGATATCATCTAACTTCTATAAGGTGTTTGATGTGATCCAACAATACATGCTGATCTCTAAACTGAAGAGAGAGATATTTGAAAGGTGGACCATTTGGTGGATAAGAAGTCATCTGAATGGCCACAGACAAATAATTGACAATGGCTCTATGTCCAGATAGAGGCTGGTGACGAGCAGTATCCCTCAGGGGTCTGTCTTGGGACCAATGGTGTTTAATATCTTTGCCAATGACATAGACAGTGGGATCAAGTGCACCCTCAGCAAATTCACAGATGACATCAAGCTGAGTGGTGCAGTCAGTACAACAGAAGGAAGGGAAGCCATAAAAAGGGACCTTCACAGCTAGATAAGAGGGCCCACATAAACCTAACAAGGTTCAGCAAGTCCAAGTGCAAAGTGCTGCACCTGGGTTTGAACAATCCTGGACATGAGTACAGACTGAGAGAAGAACTCATTGAGAGCCCTGTGGAGAAGGACTTGGGCTTCTGGTGGATGAAAAGCTCCACATGAGCCAGCAGTGGGCACTTGCAGACCAGAAGGCCAACTGCATCCTGGGCTGCATCAATAATGGAGTGGGCAACTGGTAGAGGGAGGTGATTGTCCCCCCCTGCTCTGCCGTTGTGAGGCCTCATTTGAAGTCCAGCATCCACCCAGGTCTGGGGCTCCCAGCACAAGAAAGTTGTGGATCTGTCAGAGTGGGTCCAGAAGAGGGCCATGAAGATGATCAGAGGTCTGGAGCACCTCTCTTAGGAAGAAAGGCTGAGAGAACTGGAGATGTTCAGCCTGCAAAAGAGAAGACTCTGGAATGACCTCATTACAGCTTTTCAGTACTTAAAGGGGGCTGATAAAAAAGATGGAGAGCAACTTTTTACATGGGTGGACAGTAGTAGGACAAGGAATAAACATTCTAAACTAAAAGAGGGTAGGTTCCTATTATATGTTAGGAGGAAATTCTTCACTCACAGGGTGGTGAGGCACTGGAACTGGTTGCCCAGAGAAGCTGTGGATGCCCCATCCCTGCGAGATGTTCAAGACCAGGTTGGGTGGCATCCTTTCAAGGGATATCTGGGTTGGAAGTAAACGATCTTTAACATCTCTTCTAACACAAGCCATTCTATATGGTTCTAGAACTGCTCTCCAGTGTGAGTCCCCCGGGTGGCAGCTCTCCCCAGGCCCCCTGCTCCTGTGTGGGCTCCTCTCCAAGGGCTGCAGCTCCAGCCCGGGGCTTGCTCCTGCGGGGGCTCTCCATGGGCCGCAGCCTCCTCCAGGCCACATCCACCTGCTCCACTGGGGTCTCCTCCACGGGCTGCAGCGTGGAGATCTGCTCCATGTGGGACCCATGGGCTGCAGGGGGACAGCCTGCTCCACCAGGGGCCTCTCCACGGGCCTCAGGGGAACTTGTGCTGCATGCCTGGAGCACCTCCTGCCCTCCTGCTGCAATCACCTTGGGGGCTGCAGGGCTGCTGCTCTCTCAGCTCTCACCCCTCTCTCCCAGCTGCTGTAGCACAGCAGATTTCCCTTTCCTTCAATCTGCTCTCCCAGAGGCTCACCCAGTGTTGCTCATGGCTCAGCTCTGGCCAGCAGAGGGTCCCTTTTGGAGATGTCTGGAGCTGGCTCTGATCTGACGTGGGGTATCTGCTGGGCTCTGCTCACAGAGGTCACCCTGAAGCATCCCCCTCCACTCCCCCACCCCCCACCCAAAATGTGCATTTTGTGATTTCTATCTTTCAGATGGAACTTCCATAGATGAACTTCTCTTTTACTCCTAATTAGTTTCCTAATGCTAGCCTTCAGACAAAAAACAAAGACCTTCAGCATAGTTTAATCATGATAAGAAAGACTGAGATTTTACAGAATGTTAACGATGAGATTCTCTGTGGGAATATTGTCTTTAAGTTCTATAAGTTTGGTTTCATAACCAAACAAGTTGATCAATCCACTTTCTAATCTTCTACCTAATAGGATAGTAGAAAGTTGTGTCAAGTCCTTGAATAAACACGCACAGCTTTTTATTTCCTGATCAGTGGATCTGTGATTTTCCCAGGCTGACTATCACTGATTCCTTGTTCTGCTGTACTGCTAAATTATCACATTATTCATTGTTTCAGTCAGCTTTCAGTCCACATTGCAGTGATTAGATGTAGACAAATCTTAATTAATTTTCCAGGTAATATTTTATGAGGTAGTGTCAAAAGGCTTATTAAAATCAAGATGTATTACTTCTGCTTTTCTGATTTGTTCCTCTATTTTGTATACACCCTCCTAAGGTGTACACAGCTTGTTCTTCTACACAAAACGTAAGAGCACAGTGACCTTAAAGTCGGAGCCACAGTGTTCTGTCAAGAATAATAAATTGTTGACGTTTTCCACCTGATTAGAGGGTATGGGAAAAGATAGTGAGATGTTAGCCTTTTACTAGAAATCGAGCCATTTTAAAATAAAATTTCCACTATCAATCATGTCTGATTTGCTGCTTGATTCTGTATACCTAGTTAAAATAATACTAAAATACAGAATTATGTATTATGGAGAAAATCATAATGTATTTGTTAATGAGATAAAATAGATATTAATTTTGTTATTTATGTCTTGTTATGTCTATTTATACATGCAGTATACAAATACAGTATCACTTTCTATTAGTAATAAATCAAGGGTAAGGGAACTGTGAGTAGCAGGAAGCTGCTTCAGTGACTGGCCACCAGTAAATATTATCCTACTTAATACAAATTAATAAAAATATTACAAAGAAAAGGTATTCTGTTTAAATGTGCAGATTGGTTTTTACTAAGATGAATAGTTGCCAGGGTGGATTAGTATTCTTTTTACATTACAAGACTTAGCAGAGGCATTTGTTTATCTTAAAGCAGGAAATTATTGAATGTTTTTGTAAGCTGCAGTTGAAAAACTAGGCCGTAGTCAAATATTTGTTGCTTTCCTTATGTCCTTAAGAGTTTGCATTGATTTGACATGGTCTCCTTGTGGTAGATGGAAAGTTTACTGTGAGTTATCAGTAGTCACCTTTCCAGTAGATAGGTAACAAGTGAGGTTGCTTTACTGGTGGCTGTTAAGCAACATAATTAGAAATAAACACATAACTAATTCTTCAAGTCAGTGCAACATTAATTCAGATACATTCAATCACTTGGAAACGTGGGTACTTATTAACTACTAACATTTCCATGTGATAAGTACTCTGTTTGGTTTCTTTCTTTCTTTGTTCTCTGAACTGTAGAAGTATCTGAAACCATTATTTCAGAAAATACCTGAAATCATTATTTATGAACTATCGAATTAATTATTCCTTCTCTGCTTTCCTTCATACCTAAACAATACTTAGTGGGAAATTCCCAGCATTTTTAGGTCTATATATAGCTTTGTTATGGTAGAAATTGGTCCTAGGTCTCGAGATATTATCATACTGCCTTGTTTGCCTTGGTTTGTTTTTTTTTTGTTTTGTTTTTTTTTTTTTTTGTTTTGTTTTGTTTTGTTTTTTTTCTGGTTTGTTGGTTGGCTTGGTTTGGTTTGATTTGGTTTGGTTCAGATATATAAGGTGTAATGTATACGCTGGCGTTTGGTTCATTAGGAAGGAGTCACTGATCAGGAATATTTATATCCTTACCTCAGGTGATAAAATGAACATAAGATTGTTGGGACACTTCATACAAAACTAATTAAACTCACAGTCAAGTCAGTGGGACTATGAACTTTGACTTCATTGGATAATGACTGTTCCTGAAGAGCTTATCCTTCTTATTTATGCTATTAATAACATGTTTCTTGAAATTTTGTTTAGCATTTTAGCATTTATTTTATCTCTGGATTCTAACTACTATTTTAATTTAAATTGAAGTTTTGTCATTTTGTATACAATTTTTATTTATTTTTTAATGTTTAAGTATGCATATTTGTGATAGGAAAACACTAAACGCTTTTCTTTTTTTTTTTTTTTAAAGCAGATTTTAACTTTTTGGGTTGCACTCATCTGCTTAATGCTGTCTGGTTCAAAAACAAGAGGATTCATTCTGCCTTCAGCTATGCCAGCAGGCATCAAGAGTAGTTAATCAAAGTCATAGACTGTATAAAATATGTAGAAAAAACACAAGGAATCTTCCTATGGTTGATGTATTAATCTAGCTTGATGTTATACTATTAATGCACTAATTGATGTTTTGATAAGGTCAGTGTAACTCTCTAATTGTTCATCTTTGATACTCTAAAATGGAGATGCTGGATTTTCATAAAATGTAGTATCTTGTATAATATGGGAGCATCTGAAGAAAATGGAATAGACATGTTCTTAAGTAAAGGTACTTTTATTAAAGCCTTCTGTTTTAGTATGTAGTTTAAGAGACAGAAACTTTCCAAGGAGGGAAGTAATTGATAAGTCTGACTATGCTAATATTTCTACATTCCTTCTGTGACCAGTTGAGAAAGGATTCAGATCACATGCTGAAGTTGAAGTGTGCTTCCTTACTCCACTGTCCTAGAGCCTCTTTTGTGCATAGGTTGCATGGGTTCATGTAACTCTGTTTCATTTCTTTAGGATGCTCTATTTCCCTTGTATAATCTTTCACTTTAAAACAAAAGTACTATTTTTTAGAAGATAATTTGATATGCGTATTATAAATGGAATCTCAATTCAACTAAGCACACTGTTATACTTCTACTACCTTTCACCTCCAAAAGTAAATTTTAGGGTGTTTTTTGCATTTTGCCGTTTTAAAAGGCAGTTTCTCAATGGTCCAGCAATTTGACAGTCAAGGAATTTATTTTCAGCCAGTGAATTTGGTGCATCTCTTTTTCTACTGTTGTAAAGTATTCAACCTTAAGTAAAAATATAAAGGTGATTTCTCATTTTTCTTGGAGCAGAAAATTCTTCTTCCTTGCTGTGTTTTTTAAAGTTGAAACATGTAAGCTTCTTATTTTTCTTGGGAGAATAACTTATCATTTGCTTGCAGTCACCCTGAATCTCTTTAATTGTTTCACTGTCATCTAAATCAGATCATAAGTATCGGCAACCTTATTGCATTTTGTATTTGTTAAGACATGCTTTTTTCACTGAGGAAAACATGTTTGGCAGAACTGAGGAATTTAATGATCTAACAACAGATTTCACCTTTGAGGGTCTATTTAGAGGGAATGTGTTCCATGCAGGGATTTCTACATGGATGCGACTTTTCCTTGAAACATGCTCTTTCTGAGCATTGTTGCCTTTGAGCCTGTGCAGGTTTGATCTTCTGTGTCTATATGGTACACTGCGAGCATGTTGCCATGAAAGAAATTTGAAGAGTTGCTACCTAGAGCTATGTATGTTTACACAGACATACCAGATGTAGTCTTTGAATTTATTTTGGGAAAGCAGTTCAAGGTGGTGTTTTTTGTTTTGTTTTGCCTTTTTTGTTGTTGTTAGTGTTATTCAACTGCAGTATTGAAATAAGAATTGAACTGCAAAAAGTGAAGGGTTTTCTAAGTGTTAGCATGTTTTTACAGTATCTGGTGATTTTCAGTCATCCTTTGAACTCTATTTTAATTCTTGTTAAGAAGATGAAATTATTACATTAAAGATTATCAAGATAGAATTTAGCCATGACACTGAAATGCTTTTATGGAACTGAAGGAAAGGAATTTAGATATCTAATAATTACTTACTTGCCTTTTTCTTCTTGAATGTTAGAGAGAAAAAATAAACAGTATCCTTAATTAACACTGAATAGCAACTGAAATGTAGAGCCAGCTGGCTCAGCTGTCAGCCTGTGATGGAACAGTGGGAACTGAACCAGAAAAGACTTTCTGAGGTTACTGTAACCTAGAATTCATGTAATAATTTTAATGGGTGGGTAACATTCATCTCATAGAGCAAGGAGGATGATATGGAGGAAGAAACTCTTAAGAATTTTCCATGATTATTTCTTAATTATATAAATACTCAACAAATAGGAAACTTATTCAGAAAACAATTTTAGTTTCCTAGTGTAGATGGAAAGTATAATCTAGCACTACTGGAAATAGTGATGTTTCTGGTTAATTCTTTTTAACAAATTAACAATTTTCTATTTTTCAGGTCGAAAATTTAAAAAATTTAACAAAGTTAAGGTTGTGAGAACATTAGATGTCGCTCTCCAGCAGCCAGCAACCCTTCAAGATGAAAGCCAATCTCTAACCCAAAGGCTGTCCTTTTCTCCAAATCAAGAAATACAGTTTGTTCCCCCAATGATAAGTGTTTTACGAGGCATTGAGCCAGAAGTTGTCTATGCTGGTTATGACAATACAAAACCTGAAACACCAAGTTCCTTGCTGACCAGTCTCAATCATCTTTGTGAGAGGCAACTTCTTTGTGTAGTCAAGTGGTCAAAATTGCTACCAGGTAATAACACTTACATGTAGTGAATTCTAGTTAAGCAAATGTGTCATGGGGCGAGCAGTCAAAAGAGAACATTGCTTGTTTATTGTCTGCATGGTATGTAATTCTTCAGAAATTGTTAAAGGATTAAGTTTCCACTTCATCAGATAATACATGCACTAATCCAATACATTTTAATAGGAGGGCCTTCATAAAAGAAAGCATATTTAGAGTTATTAAAAAAAAAAAAAAGCCCAGAGTGTTCCTATTTTTCCACCATTATAGCAGCTTTTCCATCCTAACCCCTCCTCCTCTACTATTAATTCTTCTGGTGTATTTTTTTTTCTTAATTTAGTTCTGCATATTCTTCATTCTTATTTTTTTAAAAAGAAACAGGGACGAGCAGTATAAAGAACCAACTGAATTTATGAAGAAACAAAGATTACAAAAAAAAAAAAAAAAAAAAAAAGCAACTCATATTTATATGTCCATGTTCTCTGTCTGGTGATAGGAGCCTGATTCTGCAATCTATAAAAAACAACATATTAAGCTGAAAGCCTGGAAATATGTGAGCTGAACTGATACCTCACTGCTGCAGGAAAGTGTGATACCACTTGTTGCTCCTCCCCATTACAGCTTGGGCTTGTCAGACCTCTTAGCTGAACTGATTCATCTCATTAAGCGAGAAGAAAACAACCTTTATTTATTTATTTATTTATTTATTTATTTACCATCTGATTTTCTGATGCTTTATGAGCTGAACCAGTTCACTGAGGCATAGCATTAATGGCTGGCTTGAAGGAGGTTAACAGGACCAGGTAATGAAGAACAGTACCACTGCTTTTGGTGGCAGGAAGCCGTTAGATTGTCTCTGATACCTTATAGCAATCTTTAAAGCTATCAAAGAGCAAAAGTTATTGTCAAATCCACAGATTAAGATTCTTCTCTGTATTTAAACACAAGAAATATATTAATAGGTGGATGTTTGTTGTATTACAACTGTATCTCTTGTTAAGAACACTTAAGTATAAACTATATTAAATAGGAGTTGATTATAGTGATTATGTACATTATTTTTACCAAAGAAAAAGGAGATGCATTCCTCTTTCCTAAAATAGTCATCTCTGACTTCTAAAATTAGTTTTGCTTTAATTCTTTCAAAATATTGGAACTGAATAAAAACACAAGAGGTTAATTATCAAAATGGCCAGTGATTATACAAACCTCACAAATTTCTGACAACTACATCCTCAAAAGCACTCATCTTTCTAACTGTTCCTGGTTTTATAGTTCATGCCCAAAGCTGTAATCTTCAGAACATCTACTCAGCTGTTGTCTAAATGAAAAGTCTAAATGTCTAAATTATAAAATATTTTATCTTTTAATTCTATTTCAGGATTTCGGAATTTACATATTGATGATCAGATAACTCTCATCCAGTATTCCTGGATGAGTCTAATGGTTTTTGCAATGGGATGGAGATCATACAAACATGTCAGTGGTCAGATGTTATATTTTGCACCAGATCTGATTCTAAATGAGTAAGTAGACTCTGCTGTTGCACAATATGAATGACGTTTTGATTTCTTTGTGTTAATGAGAACGTGAGTTCACTGATGCCAAGATTTCATTCATTATTTGTTGTTTCAAAATTAACAGCAGAGGGAAGTCCTCTGATCACATCAAAGTTCAATAATTTTAGGAAGGAGTGTGTGGGAATCCCAAATATTTTATTGCTGTGGCCAAAAAAAAAAAAAAAAAGGAGTAATATTGTAATTATATTAAATAAATATTCTAATTATATAAAAATAATATTGTAATTATCTAAGAGGTTTTTTTTATTATTTTTTAAGAGTGATACTGTCAGAAAATTTATGTGAACTCATCTTAATAAGACAAGAGTTCATGTTCAATAAATGGAAATAAGTGGGATTTCCTTTGGTCATTGTTGTTTGGGTGGTTTTTGCCAAAAGTTTGTATATAGCCTAAAGTAGTGTTGACACTTTCTGATAAAACTGTGAATTTCAGAAGTACATTTCATGTTATAAAATTGTAATAATCTATCAAGAAAAAGTGAAGATCAAAGATAAAATATTAGAGACTGTTCTTTTGTTTTGATTTTGGAGTGGGATTTTGGTTTGGATTTTCCTTAACTATGCTGATGAATTCAGATAACTTTCATTTCAGTCTTTTTCAGCTCTGCATCTTATTATTATCAAAGCTTTAATTTTAGATATTTTGGTTATTATACATGGGAATCTTCCAGGAAAAGTTAAACAATGTTGTCTTCCTATGTATTTTTTCCTAATATATTTTTCTTATTTTTAAGATCCTAAAAATCTAGTATGAGGTGAAGTAAAAATTAAACATATTTTCTCATAAGTCATATCTGTTTAAAGGTTAAGAGGTGGACTTTCAGAAGATCTAGGCACTCAAATTTGAAATTGATAGACATCCAGAATTTTGTGAGTGGTGTTATTTATACAAAATGTTCAGTGGAGCAGGCTGTGTAGTTTCTGATCTTTTCTCTTCCAGATAGTTGTATATCACTGTGAGATTATAGAGTAATGAATTCTTTCATCTCCCATGTATATTAAATGTATTGTACGATTGAAACACTTTGAAGGGATGAGACTGAGTGAACTTTGGACTGTATCCTAGTCTACTCTGATATATACTCAGAAATCCAATACGAGATGGCTTTAGGAACTAATAGCGTGTTCTGGGGCATTACCCTGTGTGTATACCACTGCTGCCACCTTATGAAGAAAAAATTTAAGTTCTTTCTTCTAGAAGAGGGTTGAGATTTATGAACCCTGATTATAATTCCTCATAGACAGCTTCTCGTTTGCAGCTGAATACCATTTACCTAGAGAAAGGTGGACTGCCGACATACAATTCTCTTGGTTGTAGAATATCTCATCAGCATCATGTTAAAAAAGTTATAATCAAAGAGCTGGACAGGAAGAATAACAGGTACACTAAATCAGAGCTACCAATGTTTATTGGGAGAAAAAAAAAAAAAGTTATCTTATAAGGCAGTATAATGTAAGCCACTTCCTTGTCTACAGTGATACATAAGGCTGTACTTCCATGATCACTTTAAGCAAAAGTAACTGCTGAATACCACCAGAAATGTCAATGCTGTCTGCCTCCTTGCCCTGGTCACGCATGCCCATAATTTCACTTAAGCTGTTTCACTTGCTATCTGTCTGCACTGTAAAACAGATAAAGAAATTATATGTTCTAGAAATGCCATAGGAAAAAAAAAAAAAAGCCAATTGAGCTCATCCCCAGTCTGAGTCACGACATGGGCAGGCAGGCAGTAATGCCAGGAGAGTAGCAGTGCACACCTAGAAGAGGGAAGAGAGAACAAAAATTCCCTCTACAGTGGCAACACACACTTAAGTTATTTGCAAATGACCATGAAACCACATTACAAAGATTGTTTTGCAGCCACTCTGTCATTTAGTGAATTTATCCAGAGTTCTCTGTGAGAACGACTTGTTCAGTAGCATCAATTTCAGACCAAGAAGGCCAGGAGTGTTAGGTTGACAATGATTTCATGACTTAACGTTAAAACACCAAAAGGCTTTACTGTTACTTTTATTTTGCAGTGCCTAAAAATATGGGTATGAACAGCATTTAGTGTACCTTGAAAGCTGCTATCACTCATCTAAGATACTGTTTATGAGTAGAGAAGAATATCAGATATAGAAAGAGAGGTTTAAACTGGATATGGAAATAAACAATCCTATGAGATCTAACAGATCAAAATTTCATTTTTAAGTCATTGGAGACCCAGTGCAAAATTTCAGATGTGGAAAACTGAAAAAAAAATCATTTAAGACAGCAATTACACTTTAAATAACATAATAAAACAAACAACAAACAAACCCTCAATGCTTTGAGAAAAGTCTTTTATTCATTGAAAATATCTTCTATTTCTATTGTTGAGAGGACTATATCCAGTCAGGTTGGAATGCTTGTCTGAATTTCTTAGGTTTACAATTCCCATTGTAACAAGTGATAAGACTACCTTTGGTCTCTTAGAGTGGGGCAAAATTTAATCATGTTGTTGGACCTAATTTATTTGGATCATTATGCAACTTTCTAAAATTATCATTTTTTATTGGATCTTCAGGTGAACATACAATGAATTCTGTTTAGTTTACAAATTTCAAAATGCTATTGTTGCAGTCATTTCAGTTATAAACTGTCTTCACAATAAATATATGCAATAAAATATAACCAGTGCACCAAAATATCAAAGAGAAAAGTAAGATCAGAGTACTGCAAAAGACTGAAAAATTTTACATATTTTCTTGTGAAATGGACTATTTACAACTGCATGAGTTTTAACATTCAAAATAGCAGCATATTCCTTATGATTAAAAGACTAGTATAGGTACCAAAGAAGTAGAAAATTGTTTATATTTCTCTTAATTTTAATAATGTGATAATTAAGCTGCTAACAAAACACTTACTTCAAACAACTATTAGCTGAGTTGCTTCTTTTCTATGTTTTCACATTTTTGTTTTTCCTTTTGTTTTCCCCTTTCTGGGTGTAAGACAGAGGATGAAAGAATCATCGTTCTATTCACTGTGTCTATCCATGTGGCAACTCCCACAGGAATTTGTCAGACTTCAAGTTAGCCAAGAAGAGTTCCTATGTATGAAAGCTCTGTTACTTCTCAATACAAGTAAGTTCCTTTATTTCTTTGTAACATATCACTAGTAAAATTTTAGTTTTGAACAACATTGTTTAACTAGACAATTGCTGAGCTATCTGGCTAAACAAATGGAAAACTTCTTTAGGAGGAAAACATTAGTATTCCGAGACCTAAAAGTATGCTTGTAACGTTTGTAAGGAACAAATAATCTGTGTTTCATCATTGGTTTTATACTGTATAAAGGCACTGCGGAAATATTAGATCCCTTTTCAAATACTGGTGTACTGTATTAAATATTTTCGAAGCAAGTATATGGACTTGCTGTCAGAAAGCTGTTCACTTTAAATGACTCTACACAGATAAAGCAACCCCTGTAAGCCCTACACCCCTCTATATTAGAAATACATAGCTATATGTATTTAATTATTTTTCAGGCTTGTTGACTGAGGGCTTTATTCTGGCCAAGAAGTTAAAGTGTGCTTACTCAAAAGAATTAAGAGAGTAGACACGGCAAACAATGCTACCATTTATTTTTTATTTTATTTTTTATTATTATTTTTACTTATAGAGGTTTAGCACAGCTATAAACAAGTAGATTTTTTTTAGTTGTTTGCTTGAGAACAGTCTGCTCACTTCAATCATACACATCTTTGTAAGAATACCATATACAGCATTACATTAAACTTTAATTGGAAGATGTGGTAGTTGATAAAATTATCTTCTGAAGCTTTTTCTAAAACACAAACATCAGTACATCTGCCGATGCCCTGAACAGTCCCCAAGAAGAAAGTTTTTAAATTGTACAGCTGCTATTAGTAACTAAGCACTAAGCACCTCCTAGAACTAGAAGGGGAACCAAACATTGAAGTTTGGTTCTCTACATACTTACTGAGTGGTAGAAGAGATGTGTGAGTCCTTCATAACCTGCTATTTGGCTGTACAAAGGCTCAGCAAAAGATAAAGAACTAAAATTTGTTCACTCTTAAACCTTACTTGGCTGTTATTTGCATAAGTTCATGCTTAAAAAGCCTCCGATCAGCAGAACACCAGAACACAAGGAGGAAAGATTAGAATTATCTCTTATGAATATGAAAATTACTAAAATAATAACAAAATAGAATACACTCTGCTAAAGCAATAAAAATAACGTGGACAAAAATCTCTGTGATTAGTCAGTCTCTGATAACTGCAATCGCTTTCTTGGAATTGCATCAAGGTTTTGAATGTATAAGCATTTTCCACCTTTCCATCACTTATTGAACTCTCTTGTCTATGTGAATTTTACAGGGAAGTCTTAAATTTCAGTGAAATGTTGGTACATTTGTGACATTCCAGCTCTCCACTTCCATACAATAAAGTTCAAATGAAATTTTTAAAAATACTGCACTGGTCAACACCCTCTCAGTTAAGAGCGGATCAGTATTCAGTATTCATCAGTAACAGTATTCATCAACCTACTATTCTTTATCAACTCCATTTCCCTCAGAACCTCATTTTTAAGGTCATGTGTTTATATATATGCAAGAAATTAATTTTAAAAACATGAAAGTATTTTTACCTGTGCTGATGAGTTTTGCTTTTTGTTCTCTCCTACACTTATTGTCTTATAGGAAAAAACAATTTGTCAGATCTTTGGGAAAAGGAACACACCTAACCGTTGTTGCTGAGACATTTAGTAAACGTTTGGTACTGTATAAATACAATACTGTGTTCAAAAAACCATATAACCTGATTGTTGCTTTAAAGTGTTTTTTTAAGACTGTTTTTATTTCAGTCATGCTATTCACCTTAATCCTCTTCAAATGTGAAAGTATGGCCATTTCAAACTTTCATATACTAACAGTAAATCAAGTCTGAACTTCTAGTCTCTCATTCTGTCTTCTATTTAATTTATTATTTAGATGAACTAGTTTTACTTTTTATATCATTTTAAAGAAACGTAATTTGTATTTAACATAAATGTCAATATCAATACATTTCTAATTCTGAATGGAAACCCCAACTTAAGTTTTAACATTATTTTAAATTTTACCTTTTTCCTTTGAGTTTGCTGTGGTTTAGTTTTTTCACTGCACTTGTGACAGTTTTAAAGCTGTCTTGAAAGTAGAAGTAGTCATTGCAAAACATGGACCAACTTTTTCATTTTCTATAATTGTTTCCATTTTACAGTTCCTTATGTGCTTTGCATATTTATACATTTTATATGCTGTGCTGTTACAATGCCCCAGAGTTCTCAACAGGACTCCATCTAGCAGATGCCGCATACATCTAGGAAGTAGTACTCTGAATAGTTCAGAATGAACAGGGTTTATGAAAGTAGAGCTATGCCAGAAAAGAGAAATAATCTCATAGCAAGGTCAGTTTTAACTCCAATGTTCAGATTTTTTGATTTAGAGGAATTACAAAAACCTTGCCGCATAAGATTTTGACTGGGTTATTGCCAGTGAATAAAAGTGCTGGCGTTCTTGACTTATCTTCAGGGAAAAGAAACATTTGAGCTATCTGTACTTAAACTGAATTTGTAATTTGTCATTCAAATAAATATCTTAGAGTGGCTTTTTTTTTTTTTTTTTTTTAACGATTAGATGGGGATGTGACTGTGCTATCACAGAATTCTGGGGTAACAGGCCATGCATTGTTGGAAGAACTCAATTAACAAGGCAACTGTAAGGTTTAATTGGTGTTTTAGAGACCTAAATCAAAGATAGCATTCATCTAGCTTAGAAGGTTCCTAAATTCCTTCAGAATGCCTTTCTGTAATTCTGCTATTAGACATCCCCAGAACCATCCAGGCTTTAAAAATTATGATCTTTTTCAATAATATAACTACTGCTCCCCACTTAGTATTAGTTCTAAACAAGTTGTGTTCTCCATAAAACAGAACTTTTCTATTCAGACCCTCAACAAGTAGCTCAGCATTTCATCTTCATCAGCTGCCAAAAGAAATCTAACATGACACATGACACCGCAAAAGCCGGACTATTATTAGATAATGTTGCTATGAGCTTCGTTTTTGTTGAAGCAATCACAATTTCTGTTGTCTGAAAGTAAGCTTGCTATTCTATGTATATGTGTCTGTCTCCCTCCTTCTCTCAGACATTCAGTTGTCTGAGGAGATACTGACAAACGCCATCTGTGGCAAAGTGGACCATTTCCTTTCTTGGGCACTCTCTTACAAAATACGAGGCCTCTGCTTAAATCAGAGTAAAGTAGAGATTTGAGCTTTGCTTTGTCAGCTGTCCCTGGACTTGAGGTGAGGGCAACTCTTAATTTTAATGTGTGTGTGAAATGTCTCTCTTTCCCCCTTACTTCTCCTGAGGAACCAGACATGACTTAGGCAGTTGATTTCAGAACAGAGTTTAAGGCTTCTGAAGGAAGAGCTGTGCTTCTCTCAGTGCAGGCCTTACTACCTAATTCCCTTTCAGTTAATGGGCATAGGTCCAACTCCTGTGCAGCCATCTCCTTTTTGGGTAGCTTCTGTTTTTAGAATTTCACTCTTAGATATCTAACAACACTGTGCATTGTAACAGAGAGTCAGCATGTACAGTTATTTTCTTTAATTTCAGAATTCAATAAATCACCTGAACATTAGATGTTACAGTGTTGAATAGTTCTATGTCATTATGAAACACATTTCCATTTATTTCTTTTTAAGAGATTCAAATGAAATCAAGTCATGGCCTGATACTTACCATGACTAGATTGAAGGTATACTAGATGCCTACCATGTGATTTATTTAATTATGTGAGCCCATGAGATTCTTTTAGAGTCCGTGGAGAGAAATAAGCATCTCTACAGCAAAATTCATGTCTTTCTAAAACTAATTCTAAAACAGTGAGTGTATCTTATGCCCTATACTGAACTGACTTTCCCCACTAAAAATACAGGGAGGTGTGGTAACCAGCTCATATGGAGATGCCTATGTTCTGAAATGCCCTTCCCTATAAACTTGCTGTCAGAATATGAAATGTTAAATGTGACATTACAGTGTGAAAAGTTATTTGAAAAATAAAAATGAAAGGGGAAGGAATTTAATAGTTCTTTCAAAAAAACAAGTATTTGAAGCCAGAGCGTATTTTAACATGTGATTACTTTAGTGAAGCAAGCATTTAGATTTGATTGCCAGATGGGAATATTTTTTTCAAGTTTCATTTTTCAAGTTTTAATTTCTTAGTTGCCTTCAAAAATTATGACTTAAAAACTACACTCTACCATGTCAAGAATATAGTGTCTAGAACTTATGCCTGTTTCTTTACAGTGGTGCCAAAGCTTATAATCTATGATTATCAGTAGTCTTACCACTAGAAGACACTAAAAGGTTAATTTCTTGGTGTTCTTTCCATGTCTTCATTTTGATCCTAACAACAGACCATTAAGAGAAGAGTTGCTCCTCCCTGCTAATTTCTCTTTAAAAATATTCACATTTAAGACTCTGAGTGTTCATCTATTTTGTTAAGTGAAAAGAGGCCCAAACAGGAAATCTGAGCCTTGGATGCTTTACTGTCTACATTACTTCAGAGTTGTTAGTTCATTCCTTGACTCCATTTTGAGGCACTCCAGATAGATCTAAGATAAATATGCTGTAAGGAGGGCTGACTAGTATGAGATGAGCCGGCTCATGATATATTTCCTCAAGAGCAGGAGTGGTTCTTTTAGCCATCTTCTTTTCAGCACATAGGTATAGCTGAAGTTTGAAACTACTTCTAGACATCAGAAGTTGGCACAATTGAGTAATACATCATTTTAACTAATTGTATTACTGTTTCTGGAGTAGCTAAATGACAGGAAGAAGTATCTGGCATATAATAACAAATTACACTGCATAGTGTGAAATGCACCATAAACTGTTCCTGTACTTTAAATCTCTCTTGTTGCCTTCAGAACAAATTGCAACACAAGTGTTGTTTTCTTTCTAGTTCCTTTGGAAGGTCTAAGAAGTCAAAGCCAATTTGACGAGATGAGAGCAAATTACATTAGAGAACTGGTGAAGGCAATTGGTTTGCGCCAGAAAGGCGTTGTGGCCAACTCCCAACGTTTCTATCAACTTACAAAACTGATGGATTCCATGCATGATGTAAGTTTACTTATTAATTTATTTTGCTTTTTAGGTCAGAAGGAACTAGAATTTTTTAAAAGTAATTTTATAGAAAGTAGCTAGTTAACAATTCTAAACTGAAAATGTTGTAAGTATAGTTTTCCTTTAAATAATTATATATTTAATAATCAATATGTATTGTATATATATTGTATCGTATACAATATATATGGATCTGAGAAAAAGGCCTTTGAATGCTACCACTTTGCTGTATTATTTCTGTAACTCGTACACTTGAGATAGTTGGTAGGGGTCTGTTTGTGTGTAAGTTTTCATGAAAATATTTACAAAATGCAAAGAATAGGCAATTCAAATTTCAAAGTCGGGCTACTAAGAATTAGTGAAAGATAGCTAAGATTGATTTTGCAACTTCAATTCAACTACTTTTATATGTGTATTTTATGTTGTATTTTATCTATCTATATGCTGGAATTGACTTATCTTGTAGAGCTCTAATAGTGGTATCATAGAGATTCATAAGTGTTTTAAAAGATGCATCTGAATCCTTTCCACATCCTTGAGAATCCAGCATGTATCTTATGGGCTCAACATCCACTAAAACTGGGGAATGACACTCTCTATAAACCTTTACCCATTTGAATATTGTTTTTTAATGGTTTGTGTATCTCTGAAAGAGAGGCAAGAAACAAAGGTATGTGGCGATACTCCCAAAGTCTTAGCAAAGACTGTGTGAGTGGTACTAAAATACTTTAGGAAAAGTGTTTTTTTAGTTCAGTGCTGGCTGTGAGGAACTCACAAGGAGTTTAGGGAAGGATGAGGTCTTTGCTTGTTTGTATTCTTCTTCACTTATCAAATCTGTGTTTTATTTCACTTTTTTTTTAATACATTCATTTTTTCATCCAAAAGCTTCCATTGTCACTAATTCCTCCTTCTGATGGGGGAAAAAAAAAAAGCAAAGATCCCATTCATAGAAGTCAAGAGAGGTAACAATGTGGTTAACCAGTTAGTCCACAATCCTTTGATCCACTGCTCAAACTTGTCCATGAACTTTTATTATCCATAGGAATCACATTCACTGTTAAACTATTATATTTTCTCAGATACCAGGTCACGGTGAATGAGACAACTGGTAAATGCATCCTTACAAGTGAAGTTAGACAATAGAATATTCTGAAGGGAGGATATGAAGCCTAACTTTAAGATTTACCGGTATTCAGACTCCTGTTGTCATTTGGACCTGTCTTTGCTAAACCCTTCCCTGGAGCTTAGTCAGCCAGCTTTTACGTGCAAAAACAATTCCTGGACAGTATACTACTTGTGCTAGCCAGGTGCTCAAGGAATCTGTGATCTGACAAATGGATCTGTTTTTTGGGGGGATAAAAGTTCTATCTTACTCTCTAGTAAGAATTCTCAATCTTGAATTTCAACATTTAGAGAAAAACTCTGAGCTGTCTGTAGAGTCAATCTCTTAATTTCAAATACTTAAAAAATGTAAAGTAGCCTAGATGGAAGCAAGTAAGTGAGACTTACTGCAAAATATCCACCAGTTAGTTGGTTGGAATAGTGTTTGCTCCTTAGAATATCTGACAAAGAGATGGGAGATATCAGATAGACCATCTCACTGAAGAGGCTGTATGTTGTTAAAACCTAGGATAACAGAGATAATAGGATATTTGACGACATAAATGTCACAGGTCTTAAAGAAAAACTGCTATAAAATTGGAACTTCACAGAGAAGATAGAAGGGGTGAAAAAGTACATATACTTAGCAGTTGCTTTCAAGGGACAGGGGGCCTATTAATTTTAATGTTAGTAGCACACTTAGGTATGGTCATAGTCAGAGCCATGGAAAACCTCACAAGGGAGTGGTAAATGCTGACTTCAGATCAATGTTTGAATAGCATATAGTAAGCAAGGCATCGAGACATGTTGTACATGATAAAATGAAAGATCGAATGCTTTTTACTACCTGCCATTGATCATGGTGCTTGTCATGAGTGAGGATGATTCCACCTTCTAATGCCAGTGAGTTCCTCTTTTTATAGGACATGCCATTTAGCTATATTTATGATTTTTACCTTGGGATGATATTTTAATAGGGAATGACAAATTATCTTCATTACTGATTCAAGGATTGACAGAGGATGGAATATAATGATGTCATCTGATAGATGTATGAGCTAAGTGATTGACAGCATGTTTATCTGGCTGCATTACTGTTAGCCTTATTTATCATGTTTGTGTTTTATTACTTCCAGCTAGTGAAACAGCTCCATCTCTTCTGTCTGAACACATTTCTCCAGTCCCGTGCACTGAGTGTTGAATTCCCCGAGATGATGTCAGAGGTGATTGCTGCCCAGCTACCCAAGATTTTAGCAGGGATGGTGAAACCTCTTCTCTTTCACAAAAAGTGAAATGTCTTTTCTCTTATCATAGAGATGATTTCTGGGTCATTTTTTGTTTGTTTATTTTGATCAAGATTTTGCAATGTCAGGACTTCAGTGCATTTGTCATACCCTGCCTACTGCTTTATACTTGTACCATACACAAACCACTTAAGCTCGATGTACATATTGTGAGTGCCTGATTCCATAACTGCACAAATCACAACCGCCATAAGAAATGTTTTGTAAACTTGAGTAGATTGCTCTTTAGATGTGCATAAGAATGACAATGAATAGAGTTTTCAGATTTCTAACAACAGTTATCTTATACATTTTTCTTACATATTACACACTTTCAAATTTCTGATATGACATGGTGTAAACTTTTTACTTTAATACGTTGTGTGCATGGGTACATGTGGGCATGTGCGTAATCCTAAAGATTTTAAAGGAATTAAAATGTTTATTACCTACATTTTCTCACAGATATTTCACTTTTTTGTTTACTAATCCACCTCACAGAAACATCCTTTTAAAGTTGGCTGTCCAAGATTAAGTAGACATCACTGCAGGACATTCATGAGTAACTGAAGTGCAAGCCACTGAGTATGGATTCATCTTCTTGTCTGTGCTCTTGCTGTATTGAAATTCTGAGATCAGCATGCTGTTTTCTGCATCATTCAGTGCAGTTCTTCAAAAACAGAAAACATAGGAAAATTTCAGTATATATTACACCAGAAATAATGTGTATGCAAACCCACTCAGCTTTGGTTTGTGTTATTTTTCCTTAGAAGTTTGGCACTTATTAAAGCTAAATCACTTAATTGTAATCTTAAATTTATCAACTTTAAAATTGTGTATTTCAGAAGCTTGAAATAGAAATGTTTTCACTCACTACAACTCTTAATAAACTTAATGTTTTGAATTCCAGTGTTGAATACTCAAACAAACATTACCAGCAAATTATAGAGAGATTAAATGCAAAAAGAAATATGACTACAAACATTTTGATACACACCAGGCTCATTTTAATATCATTTAATAAAGCTACATATTTTATACTTTAAAGGCATGCTGCTCTAATTGGGGTAATGGTAAGAGCTGTTGGGCTAAGTTAGCTTTATACATTTTGTACATTCAAGAAGAACATCATGTTTTATCATGGAAAAGAAATACTTGACTAAAAATGATAATGTGGTGCGTTTTTTTCTTTGATAGGGATATGAAACAACTCATGCATTTGAGGTAGTAAATTCTTGATATATTCACACAGAATCACAGAATAGTTTGGGTTGGAAAGGATCTTAAAGATCATGTAATTCCAACCCCTGCCATGGGCAGGGGCACCTCCCACCAGACCAGGTCGCTAAAAGCCCCATCCAAACTGCCCTTGAACACCTCCAGGGATGGGGCATCCACAGCTTCTCTGGGCAACCTGTTCCAGGGCCTCACCACCCTCTGAGTAAAGAATTCTCTCTAATGTCTAATCTAAATCTACCCTCTTTCAGTTTAAAACCATTATCACTGCACTTTTTTTATGACGAGTCCCTTCCCAGCTTTCCTGTAGGCCCCCTTTAGGTACTGGAAAGCGGCTATAAGGTCTCCCTGGAGCCTTCTCTTCTCCAGGCTGAACAGCCCCAGCTCCCTCAGCCTGTCTTCACAGGGGAGGTGCTCCAGCCAAATACATGGCAAATTTTTGCCAGTCACTAAAAACAATGCCCAACTTCTCTAGCAATGTAGGAAAATCAAGCCTTATTTCAGCACTTGCTGGCCATACTCTGCTGTTCTTCCCTTGCTAGATGCTGGATGCATCCATTGTGTGGGTAGCATACAGCTGACAGTAACTTGTTATGTATGGACAAATTTTTGTCAGGCAAGCAAAGGTCCACCAGGAAAAAGCTACATTATGAATAGGAATAAAAATATCCCACATAGTAGTAAAATAAATAAAGTGGAGCTAGGGCAAAGAAGTGGCCCAAGGCAAAATGGTCTAAGCAGACTTTTGTGTTAGTTTACTAGGTTCATAATTTCTAACTGCCCAGAGACAAGCTATTTCTTTCTTATTCAATGCAGTCTGACTTTTAACTGTGATCCTTAAAGCAATTGTGTTTTAATAAATAACACAAAATTTTGTTTCTACATACCGAAGTTTTGTTTTCTTTACTTTTCTTTGTACTTACATTCAGTTAAAAAGTTGTCCATTTCCATTCAGCTTTTGTGTAGCAGCTGTATTTTCATGCATTCTTTGGGAATTTAAGTATTGTCATTTAATTTACCATCAAATTAATAGACTTCCTATGTTGCTGTTTAGATTAAACTAGTAACAGAAACTTCCTACACTAAATAAGATTCCTCGACACTCTAATTCTGTAATTACAAAATGGAGCAGGTAGTATGCTTGTTTTAGAAATGTTTTAGATGAACCAATATCTGCCTTTTACTCAATCCCTAAAATGTGTTCCAAGTGTCTGCCATGTCACTGTGTCCCACAGATATGGCAGATCAGACTGAAATGCTCTATATTTGTCTCAAAGATATAATAAAAAAGGATGAATAGATTCCTTTTGGGAACAGATAGCAAAGGTTACAACATTTTCAAACTGTATTTCTTGAACATCTGTAACTCACAGAAAAAACTCCCAGAACTTCATGATTCTGTTAAATGATGTACTACATAAGACAGAACAAGTTTGACTAAATCAGACTGCTATATCATTTGAAAATCCTGTATTCACTACTAGATTGTTTGAAGTTGGACAAAAGTATTTCAATTTAAGATCTTTCATCTTTGGGTGGTGTTTATAAAAGAGCCTATGGTCTCCATTTTGATGCAATCATTTGCTTCAGATTACACAGATGCCATTATCAGTATTCAAGACACAAGATTATTTCCTTTCCTATATAAATCTCATTTAGTGCAACTTTTCAGCACTGGACTGATGCCCAGAGAGCTATCAACAAACTAATTTTCCTTTTATATATATATTTTTTGAAGAGTAAGAGTCTTCTTATTTGTTCGTATTTCACTTCATTAATATTAATTTAAATATTAAGGGTTCTTTTCTCAATCCTGAGATTGACAAGTAGGTGTAAATAAAGCAACTTGCACTGCTTCTCTATACATTGAATAAGGCATGACAAGGCTGGATCTTCTTATGTTGCATTTTGCATACCAGAAATAAGAAGTTTTGACAGATGAACTTTTTTGTTCTCTGGCATTTAAGAAGTGCCCAATTACATTTAAAAAATATTATATCTGTTACACTAATTAGAGAGCTTGGCATCTTCTGCAAATTGCAGCCTTTTTTTTTTTTTTTTTTTTTTTTCCCTGTCTAATTGGCACTAAAAGTTAGTCCTCTTACATTAAATAATGTCAACTATGGCTGAAGGTAAGCCTCTCATATTCTGTACAATTTATATATTTTTGATGTAAGGCCTTTAGCATATCCTTCTGCTGATACTTACATGAAGCACAATAGCAAGAGCACAAAGTGCTCTGCTTTGGTTTCTACTGTTGTAGAAACTGTAGGTTTCTACATTTTGGTAGCGGCATCATGTTCTCACATTATCTGCAGATTTTTATGACAGTTTCAAGCATCAAACTGCCTGGCTGTGGCAGCACCCCGTGCAGGACAGGAAACAGGAGACTTCCAGTACTGGCAAGCTCTCACACCGAGGTGTTTGGCTGTTGCACTCGCTGATGTCAAAGAAATACAAAAGGGTCGAAGACTTATTTACAAGATCCTAGTGGGATCAAAATTTCTGACCAGCATTTAAGGAAGGGGGAATGTTGGTTTGTTACCACCTCATCCATGACAGAGGGAAATGGAGTCTGAGACAAATCCAATTGATTTCATGGGACTGCAGAGTCCCCTCATTGTAGGTGTGCAGAGTGAAGTGAAGATTTGGTACCCCAGCTGTTCCTGCAGCTGCACTGCAGTCCTGTTGGCCTATGTAGTATCCAAACAAGAGAAGCTGAGAATTCAGTTGCTATTTTCTGTCCAGTTTCATTAGTACCTTAGCACTCTTTTGACTTTTTCTGACGTACAGAAATATGTCTAGGGGGATTACAAGATGACAAGAAAGAGATTTTACTTCCCCCGGATATACTTAAAGAGCAAGGGTCAATCCTTCAGGCACTAGGACAAATCACAGTAATTAAACTTCCTGGCTTTTTAAAGTTAGAACTCATCCAAAAACTTTCAGTGGTTTTATGACAGAGCATCTGCTAATAATTCGGATTTATGGGGAAGCTCGGTGCTTTACTGTGTTCCTGTCTATACACAAATCTTTGTTCTGGTTATTGGTAGCACAAACAGCAATACCTGTAGGGATCCTCCCCATGCTCTCCCACCTGCACAGCCCTCCAGTTGGGCTCCCCCTGGAGCAGGAGGGCACGGGGCCACGCTCCACCCACGCACCATGTGGCTCCAAGTGCGCATTTCTTGTCTCACATGCCATCCATGGCACGCCGACCTTTCTTTCCTTTGGATAAGTCAGCTTGCAGCCACAGAGCCAATATCCAAAGCCCTCCCAACTTTCCATGGCTCAAAAGCCTGTGTATATACTGCCAGAGTGGATTGTCAGCATTGCTAGATTTATTGGTTTGTACTGCTTTGTGTCATGATGACCTGACTTTGGAACAGAGGAATTGTTTTTAATTTAGTTCTCTTTTCCCCTTTCGAAGATGAAAAGAAAAAACATAAGTCATGTTTTAGATGTTTTTATATTAAAATTTATGTTGTTTTTGTTTGTTTGTTTTTGTTTGTTTGTTTGTTTGTTTTAGATGAATGCTATTAATTTGTTAGATTGATGTTATTTGCTTGCAGAATGATACTGTAGCTTTTCAGATGCTTGGACAGAAACATGCAGTAAAAGTGACTGCATGGGTAATAACAACAGATTAAAATTTAGGTGTATGTATACCTCATAGAGAAAATAACCCTCATAAGGCACCAGTGCTGTTGGAAATGAATCCCTAACGCAGCAGCTGCACTGCTCATGTACTTAAGTACACTGCGTACAAAATAAATGTATTTTTTGTATTACATGTATTTTTTTTTTCATTACATGCATTCTTTTTGCTTATATTTAGGCATTTTCTTTCCTGTGTTGGGCCCTCAGTACTGTGCACAAAGGTGTTTAAAGACTACATGTATAAAGAATATCAAGGAGTGGTGAACTTTCTTTTAATTCTAGTTCATCAACATTTCAGCTTCTTGTCGGTGTAAGGTGTGCTCCTTACTAAAATGCCATCACAAGACTTTTAGCCATAGATCACGGTTTTCTGACCATGAAAACTAAATTACCCTTTCACCTCTCCAGGTACAATAGTTCCACCAATTTGGCATTCAGGCAGATCAGTGAGGAGGTTCTCACAGTGTCATTCAAATAGTCTCACTCTATTGCATTTTCCCACAGCTCAGTTGAAATATCCACCCAGCCAGGCTAGTACTAAAAACTTGTTTTGCTGTGATGAGGAAAAAGAAATACATAATTTCTGGGAATTCCAACTCTGCATCAGTGACTCTACAAGCTGTTTACTTTCAATGGGGGGGGGGGGGGGGGGGGGGGAGGGAGGCAGACTGGATAAAAAGCATCTGATGAGCATAATAAATTTAACTTTTGCCATTGAGTCTGACCTAACTAGGTAGATCCATGCAGAGATCTTTGTATGATACAGATGAGACTTTTCTGGACACAATTGTAAGTGGCTCATTCCTTCTTGCTTGCACCATTTTCATGGATGCCTCTTTTTCATACACTAGATAAAAACACAGTAATGCTTTTATACCTCATATCATTGTTTTTTGTCCAGTCTGAGACACTAATCGTCTGCAACACCATCGAGTTAAGAACATTGCTTGTGTGTCTGTGAAGCTGTGTGTGAGGAAGGCCCTGCTATTAGTCCATATACCTTATGCTTTGCATAAATAAATGCATATTACAAAGTTACAATGGCTTTGTTTGTGCATCATTATGAATTATATGCACTGAGTTTTCACCTGTAGCTCACATAAAGTTAAGATCACAATTTTCAGTGAAGGAACTGAAATGTTACAGACAAGTAGGTGGTGGTCTGCTACAAGTAGGAACCATCCTTTTATTAGAAATATTTACCATCTCTGTAATGTAGTATTGTGCCTTCTGGATAGTGACTTCAGTAGAGGAAAGAATATGTTCCCAACCA